TTTAGTTACTGTCCCACAGGTCCCTAAGCCTCTGCTCACTTTTTTTTTTTTCAATCTACTTTTTCTCCTCTTGCTCTCTGATGTTTGAATGCAATATTTCATGGCTGATGCCCATTGCGCCTGCTATCAGACCATCATTTGTTTACATAACTGTCTTATTTGTGCTTCAGCATTTTACATGAAATTTTACCAGCCTTAGAGAAATGAGTCACAGACCAAATATACAAATGATCAAAACAGCCAAGGTCTAAATAAATAAACCAGTAGATTAAAAATTAAAGCTGACTACTAGGAGACCAGCGATAAAATATCCATCATTAAAAATTTAGTCCTTACTGATCCGATTAACATAAACTCATTAAAGTATTAACAAGAGAGTAGGAGGCGAACTTAAAAGTAACAGATTGATGTATTCAATAGCAGTTTGGAAAATCAATTTTTATTGTTGTCTTATATTCTAGAGCATTTTCAAAGAAAGAGAATAACTTCAATAAACCATAACATATTTTTAGAAAGAAAGAAAGAGAAGATTCATGTCCTTTTTTGACAGTTGATCAGACTGATTGTAAAAAGTTCAGTTTTGACCTTTGGTTTTCCTGGCTTTCAAGCCAGAGGAGACTAAAGGCGTGTACATGTGACATATTGGCTAGGGGAAAAAAGACCACTGCCACCAGCGCCTTATTTCCTCTAACTCCCTGGAAAATTCAGAATGAAAGTAACTCTGAATAAATCCCCGGAAGAAGTCAAAGCTTTAGGGCCAAAACACAAGGGACGTTCTTCTAGTCAATACAAACAGGCGGTGGAGGAAGAGGGAAATGAAGAGGTGCTGTGGAGCGTGCTAAGAGGGGAGAACTATTGAATGTAATTCTTTCTTTTTTTTTTGTTTTAAATGTTTATTTACTTATTTATTTTGAGAGAGAATCCCAAGCAGGCTCCATGCTGTCAGCACAGAGCCCGACAAGAGGCTTGATCTCACAAATCGTGAGATCATGTATGACCTGAGCGAAATCAAGAGTCAGATCCTTAATCAACTGAGCCTCCCAGGCACCCCTAATTCTTTCATAGTTAAAACTGCTATTTGACCTTTGGTCTCATAGCCAAAACAGGAAAGTGAAATTGTGTGTAAGTAAAGAGAAAAAAATGGCACTCTGAAGAATATAGAATTTTGTCCAGTATATTTTAACCAAATTAGAAATTTGCTGGAAAGGTTCTACAGGGAGAAGATATAAAGGACCAGGTGAGAAGGAACAAATTTTGTTTGTTTTCCAGAAAACTGTCAACTCTAATTCCCATCAAGGAGTCAGGGCCAGCACATAATTTTCAAACCTTAAAATATGTGGACACCAAGGGCTCCTGAGTGTAGAGGGTGGAGCCCGGAGGAGCAGGGATGAGTAAAAGTTAGATATGTCAAGAAGAATAAGGAACATGCACACAATGGCACACTCCTGTGTGTGTGTGTGTGTGTGTGTGTGTGTGTGTGTGTGTGTAGGTAGATAGGTAGGTACATAAGTTTTTGTGCAAAGGTAGAAAGCAGAATGAAGCATGGTTCCTGGAGATAATGGAAGATTAAGAATCATTGAGGAGCATCAGACTAAGTGTTTAGCAAATGAGAGTAGAGAATAGACCAGACAACAGAAAGTAGGCTCCAAAATAAGGTAGAAGGCAGACTTCACCCCTCTGGCTAAAATTTGAGGGATGATTCCCCTCAAGCTTCCTGACACTGGGAACATATCTTCTAAGCCCGTAGTTGAGACACATGCTCTGATATGAATGTTTGAAAATGGATTTATGCCAGAAAATCTGGGAACTGTGGCTGCTGTATCAGCAGCGTTTTCACTCTCCGCACTATTGACATTTAGGGTGGGCATCATGGGAAGGGCTGTCCCTCGCATTGCAGGGTGTTTAGCAAGCATTGCTGGTTCCTACCCACTACATACCAGTAGCATCATCTGCCCAGGTGTGAGGGTCAAATTGCCCTGAGAACAACTGCTGTGTCAGTAATATAACAGTGGCCCCATTCCACTGCTCATTTTACGGTATTTAACATACTGTCTGCTCACACCTTCCTTTTGTGAACTCCCCCTTCTCTTGGCTTCAGCAAGGCTTTATTCCCCTGATTCTCCTGCCTCTTCACTGTCTGCTCTTTGTCAACCATCCCTCAGGTAGGTGGAGTCCTAGAATCTCTCCATTTTTTTTAAGTTTATTTGTTTTTGAGAGAGAGAGAAAGAGAGAGAGAGTCTGAGTTGGGGAGGGGCAGAATCCGAAGCAGGCTCCAGGCTATGCACTGTCAGCACAGAGCCCAATGAGGGGCTCAAACTCACAGACTGTGAGATCATGACCTGAGCCAAAGTTGGATGCTTAACCAACTGAGCCACCCAGCCGCCCTTCTCTATTTTTAATGATTTAATCTGATTTCGTGAGTGCCCCCCTCAAAGTACCTAACTCCCAGGCCCACAGGTGATAATTCCAAAGCGATGGCTCCTGGTACAGCATGAGCACTTGCTGGATCACGAGAGCAATGGAATCAGCTAAATACCCATCATACAAATCAACCTCTTTGCCCCTGAACTTGCTTCTAAACTTCATACACACACTTCTAAACTTCTGCTCAGACTCTCCCTCTGGGTATCCCCTTGGTGATTGAAGATAAATGTTCAGAAACGACTTCTCTCTGCTCCGGAACACGTTTCCTATTTTCATTGATGGGATCTTCAGCTTTACTGTCCCTGGGGTTAGAAAGCTCTGATACAGGGGCGACTGGGTGGCTCAGTTGGTTAGGCATTCAACTCTTGATTTCGAGTCAGGTCATGATCTCACAGTTCATGAGTCTGCGTTGGGCTCTGTGCTGACAGTGCAAAGCCTGCTTGGGATTCTCTCTCTCCCTCTCCCTCTCCCTCTCCCTCTCTGACTTTTCTCTCTCTCTCTCCGCCCCCCCCAATAAATTTTAAAAATTAAAAAAAAAGAAAGCTCTGAAATAGACAGGTTTGTCTTTTCCCCCTAAACAGGTACTTGGTTATCGATTCTATATCATTCTTTCTATAATAAGTCCATTTGATCCTACCTCTGCACTACCCCCTTCCACACCACCAACACAGGTGAGATCCTCTTCTCTCTGAATTGGAGGCCTTCTCTCCACCTGCCTTCATTTTTCCCATCGACTTACATGTTTTCATAGTGCTTATATTTTAAGAAGAGGAAAATATGGATAAAGTATATGTAGACCCAGCATTAATTCTAGCAAGAGTCAACATTCCCTGGATACATGAAGGGGAAATACATGGTTGAACATCTTTCACCCATCTCAGTAAGAGATGCATTGTCAGTAAATTTCCAATATTTTGTTATGTTCAAGCATATAGAAAAGTTGAAAGAATTTTGCAGTAAATGTGCATATACCCACTGCCTAGATTCTAGAATCATTTTACTAAGTCGGTTATATCACATATCTATCCATCTCATCTGTTGTTTCCTCTATCCATCTGTCAATCCAGCTGTGTTTCAAAATAAATTGCAGGCCTCAGTGTGTTTGCACTGGAAATACTTCAGTGTATGTGTCATTAGTTAGATAGAATTCAGTGTTTGCTGCCCGTTGTTTCTTTTTCTTTTGAGGCAAAATAAGCATGCAATGAGATGCTCAGATCTTAAGGGAACCACTCTGTGGGTTTCAATAAATACATACACCTGTGCAACTCAAATCTCATCAAGGTACAGAGCATTCCAATCACCCAGAAAGTTCCCTGACATCATTTCCTTGCTGGCCTCAGCCGCAAATCCACTCCAGAGGCAACCACTGTTCTGATGCTCTTCAACCATAGATTAGTACTGCCTGTTTTAGAACTTCATATAAATGGGAATCACATAATCTGTGCTATTGTATGTCTAGATTCTTTTAGTTGGAATAAGGCTTTCAAGATGGCAGCCATGTTGTTTCATGTATAAGTAGTTTGTCCCTTTCTATTGCTAAGTAAGTTTCCATGTATAAATATACCACAGTTGTTTTTTCCATTCTTCTATCAATGAGGATCTAGGCTGTTTCTAATTTTAGGCAACATTTTCAATAAAAATCATTCATCAAAGTTTGTAATACATTTTTGTTCTATTAATCAATTATGGACTAAGAGTAATTAAAATATCAACTCAATACAAAAGAAATATTTATCACTTTTAATTTTATGGTTGCAGAAAGTTAAATTTACATATTTTTTTTATTGCAAAGCATCATGAAAGGTGAGTAATAAAAATATTTTCAAACATAAAAAATTACATGAGGATACTACTAAGAAAGAAGTAGAAAAGAAATAGAAATTTGAGGGGAAACTACAAACTATATGAACTGTCCGGCTGTAAGATGATCTGTGTTTTTAGGGGTGCCTGGGTGGTTCAGTCAGTTAAACATCTGACTTCGGCTCAGGTCATGATCTCATAGGTTGTGTGTTCGAGCCCTGTGTCTGGCTCTGTGCTGACAGCTCAGAATTTGGAGCCCACTTCAGTTTCTGTCTCTGTCTCTCTCTACCCCTCCTCCACTCTTGCTCTGTCCCTCTCTCTCAAAATTAAATAAACATTAAAAAAAAACTGGGGGGAAAAGATGATCTGTATTTTTAAGTGAATGATGTGATTATTAAACTGCTATGACATTTTTTAAGGCTTCTTTATTTATTTTAAGAGGGGAAGAGTGAGTGAGCAAGGGAGGGGCAGAGGAAGAGGGAGAGAGAGAATCCTAAACAGGCTCCACACACAGCACAAAGCCCAACACGGGGCTTCATCTCATGAACTGTGAGATCATGAACTGTAAATTGCTATAGCATTTAGATGCCCTTGGGTTTACTCAAAAGAGTAATGTGACAATTGGAAAATATTTTCATATTAAAATTTAGTATTCAGTATTTATAATACTCCCAAAATGGCAAATTTATGATGAAAACAATTAGATGTCAACATAAAATTATGTGAACAAGTTCAGTTGTCTCAAATTATTTTCCAAACCCTATTCAAAATACCAGGAAGAAGAATTGAAGTTTTACCCAAAGCCTGCTGCTTTGCCAGACTTGGGTCCTGGATTCAACTCATCACTCTCCAGCTCTAATTGCCATCTTTGAATCTCACTGGGCCTTGAGAACACTTCCAGTCTGCCAGCATCCATGGGGAGGTCTTGGTCATATTCTGTGTCTCAGAATTACTGAAACTGAGGTGAGGACTTGGGCCAAATGCAGCCCAGATGGTCAATCAATGTGGTGTCATCAAACACTCATCTTCTCAGTCTGTGGTCTAGTGGAAATGATACATTTTGAAGTCTTACATTGAAGTCTTACATTGGGAAGATGGTGGCTCTTCCATCATCTCTTCCATCATCTCCTTATCCCTTTTGCACCTATATGCACCAAAAGAAATCATAGATATTTTTGCACTGGCCATTTTATTTTTCCTCTGCGAAAGCTTCTTTTTGCTGGAAACTAACATGCCACAGATCCCATTACAGAAAATATTGGTTACAGAATTTTACAGCTTCCTTATGTATCATATTTAGTTGTGTCCATTTACACAACGTGAAAAGAGCCCACTAATTTGTGGAAAATGTAATAAAGTGATGGGAACTGCATTAACAAAAACCACTGACTGATAAATTATTAATTCAAATATCCTGGAGACTTTATTGAAACCTAAGGGTCATGAGTGGACTCAGTCGGGAAAGCCAAAGGTTAATACTGTGCCCTTGAATAATGTTTTTACAATTTTTTTCCCAGAAAATATTCACTTTCTAGTGTCAGATTGCAGAGTACTATGGACTGAATGTGCCTCTCCAAAATTCATTGAAGTATAGAGGCCCGATATGAAGGTATTGGGAGGTGGGGCCCTTGGGAGGTGAAGGCTCTGTCCTCATGACTGGGATTAGTGCCCCTATAAATGGGACCCTATAATGGGAAAGCAACTCTACTCCTTCTGCCACATGAGGACAGAGTGAGGAGGCAGCCATCTATAAACCTGGAATTAAGTTCTTACCAGTCTCTGTATCTGCTAATATCTTGACCTTGGACTTTCTAGTGTCCACAATTATGAGAAATCATAGACCCACCCAGTCTATGGTATTTTTGTTATAATAGCCTGAACAGATTAAGACACAGAGTTTAGTGCATAACTATTCCTAATTATTTAAACTGTGTTTGTTTTCACTTCAATTAAGTGTAAACTGTTTTTTTAAAGACTTTATTTTTAAGTAATCTCTACACCTAACAAGAGGCTTGAATTCACAACCCCAAGATCAAGAGTTGCCTGCTCTTCTGACTGAGCCAGCCAGGTGCCCCAAGTTTAAACTTTTTATTTTTTATTTTTTCTGAAAGAGAGAGAGAGACAACGTGAGCAGGGGAGGGTCAGAGAGAAAGGGAGATACAGAATCTAAAACAGGCTTCAGGCTCTGAGCTAGCTGTCGGCACAGAGCCCGATTAGGGGCTCGAACCCACAAACTTTGAGATCATGACCTGAACCAAAGTCGGACACTTAACCGATTGAGCCACCCAGGAACCCCAAGCTTAAACTTTTTAAAGGCAGAGATGGTCGAATTCTTTTCTGTCCCTCACAGTTGTGATCACTGAATTAGATACACAGCAAGTGCTTGATCTGGGGATGATAGTCAAACTCTTCAACAGCCATCTAGTTAGAACAATGGCCATAGCGCTGTAGAGATTCCCAGCTTAGCATTTTCGTCGCTCCATCTTGGGGAAACCCAGGGCTTCCAGGGAGGGCACCAGAGTAGTAAGGGGTACGGCTGTTTATCAGCCAGTACAGAACCATTTATGTTTTAGCAATCAATATGTAACTACACCATCTGAATATCAGCCCTGAATAGCAAACATTTTGTGAAAAGAAAAAATTGTAAAAGTGTGAACATTAGTCTCCTCTTAACAGAAGAGTCAACTGAGATCCAAGAAGCAAATGTATGCCCCAAAGGTACCCAGGTTAATAGCAGGACTGGAAATCAGTATCCAGCTCCCTGGACTCCAGATACCACAGGCTGATCATTTGACGGGTTGGAGGATGCTGTCACTCTGCCCGGATCCATGTTTACCATTACATTCTTCCCCTCTTTGGGGTGTTTTTGATTTCAGCAAGCAGCATGGGCTGTGTTTTTATGGAGAACTACCTTGTAATTCCTGGATCCCACTAGCCTGCGGTGAAGTCCCCTGGGGGTGGTGTATAATGGGTGACTGCTGGGGTGCTGGCGCAGTAACTCTAGACCCCTAGTCTAGGGTGAGCCCACCCTGAAGCATCATTTACACTCCAAAGTCCCCCGGGGGGCAGGTGATATGAGCACAGCCTTCAGAACCTGGCTGAGCTCTCTGCACTCTGTTCCACTCACCCCTCCATTCATGGTCTTCCAGGAGCATTTCCTTAACAAGTCCCTCCCGCATCAACCCCACTGGAGGAAACCCAACTGTATGTGTTTCCTGCAGCTGCTGCAGCAGGTACTGGGGAGTTCAATGCAGTAAAACAGAAATGTGTTCTCTCCCAGGTCTGGAGGCCACCAGTCTGGAATCAAGGGGCTGGACAAGGTTGTGCTCCCTCTGAAGGTTCTAGGGGAGAATCTGCACCACACCTTTCTCTTAGCTTCTGGGGTTGCCACAGTCCCTGGTGTGCCTTGGTTTGTAAACACATGACCTCAGTCCCCACCTGTCTTCACATGGGGTTCTCCTGTATCTATGTCCTCTCTTCTTCCTAGAGGGACGCAAGGCATATAGGAGGAGGGCTCGTCCCCTAATGAGGATGGCTTCATTTTAAGTTGATTGTATCTGCAAAGGCTCTGTTTTCAAATTTGATGATAAATTTGGTGACGTTCGTGGGTGGGGAGGCCAGTGTTTGCTTAGGGTCATGAAGGAAGGATTAGTTCCAGGCCTCTCTCTCAAGGGTTGTAGATGGCTGTCTTCTCCCTGTGTCTTTTCATACCATTGTCGTTCTGTGCAGGTCTGTCTCTGTGTCCTACTCCCCCCTCCCATTTTTAAAAATGTTTATTTATTTTTGAGTGAGCATAAGCAGGGGAGGGGCAGAGAGAGGGGGACAGAAGATCCAAAGCAGGCTCTGTGCCGACAGCAGTGAGCCAATGTGGGACTCAAATCCACGAACCATGAGATCATGACCTAAGCTGAAGCCTGATGCTCAACTGACTGAGACACTCGGGTGTCCCTCCTATCTCCCCTTTTTAAAAGGATACCAGTCATATTGGATCACCACCCTAGTTTGATTACCGCTGTAAAGGCCCTTTCTCCAGATACTCGCATTCTGAGGTAATAGGAATTAGGACTTCAATACAAGAATTTTGAGCCATAACAGGAAGTTGGGATTTCAATGTATGGGGGAGGGGTGCACAATTCAGTCTTCAACACTGACCTAAAACATTTTCTTTATTACTTTAAGATTTCATGAGAAACAAAACAAATGAGCAAAGGGGGAAAAAGAGAGAGAAAGAGAGATAAGCCAAGAAACAGACTAAGCTATAGCTAAGACTAAGCTGTAGCTAAGAAACAGACTCTTAGCTATAGAGAACACATTGATGATTACCAGACAGGAGGGGGTGGGACATGGGGGAAATACGTAATGGGGATTAAGGAGCACTTGGGATGAGCACTGGGTGATGCATGGAATTGTTGAATCACTATATTGTACACCTGAAACTAATATTATACTGAGATAAACTAATATTAACTCGAATTAAAATAAAAAAGTTAAAAAAAAAGATTTCATGAAGGTCAAGAATATAAACACAGAAAATCGTTGCACTGTATACATAAATCAGCAGTCATATTTCCCAATTGTTATTCAAATGTCTTCAAATACGATATTTTCATTTTTCTGAATCATCACCCATAAAATCAGGAATAATATTATGGCTTCATTTATGGGACTTATGAATTTACAACATTTGTGTTTTAGATGCTTATTTCAGATAAGAATTTGTTTTGAATTGGAAATTATGTGCCCTTAAGTGTTGCTCTCTATGAAACAAATGAATCATTAATAACACAATAAATAAACTGTACAGTGGGAAAGAATGTGGACTCTGACATCAGACTGTGTAGGTTTGCATCAGCTCTGTAAATTTCTAGCTCTGTGAACTTAAGCAAGTTAATTAATCTCCCTGAGATTTTCACTCCTTCATCTCTAACAGGGAGATGAAAATAGTACTGTTATTCTGAAACACTTCACATGGTATTTGCTCCTAGTAAACACTATTATCATTAGCTATTACTTTGTCTGAATATTAGTTTATATGTAATAATTCTGAAAACAGAAAGGCACAAAAGAAGTGAAATTTCTTATTATTTCTTTAGGTAAAATCTCATGCTTTTCCAGGTTTTCTTTAAAAAGACAGGATACAATTAGTTCTTTTCTATTTATCTTTCAGTATTTAACTTTATATCACCAAAATAAAATTATCATTTGAACCCCTTTTATGGGAAAAACATTTTAATGATATAATAGGGTTTTTTTAAAAAATAGGTAGCGGTGCCTGGTTGGCTCAGTCGGTTAAGCGTTTGACTTTGGCTCAGGTCATGATCTCACAGTTGGTGGGTTTGAGCCCTGCGTCGGGCTCTGTGCTGACAGCTGGCTCAGAGCCTGGAGCCTCTCTTTGGATTCTGCATCTCCCTCTATCTCTGACCCTCCCCTGCTCACACCGTCTCTATCTCTCTCTCAAAAATAAATAAAACATTTTAAAAAATAGATAATCCTCTAAGCAGTACAAATTTAAATGTCACAAAGGAAAATAGTAAAAAGTAAGTCTCCTCTCTCTTACACCTAATTCTTAGGTCTCATTTCAAGAGTCAACCACTGTTATCCTTGTCTTTCTTTTTTTAAATGTTTGTTTTTGAGAGATAGGGAAACAGAGTACAAGGGAGGGGCAGAGAGAGAGGGAGACACAGAATCTGAAGCAGGCTCCAGGCTCTGAGCTGTTAGCACACAGCCTGATGCGAGCTCGAACCCGCGAACTGTGAGATCATGATCTGAGCCAAAGTTGGACGCTTAATAGGCTGAGCCACTGTGGCACCCTTCAAATATTTATATTATTAAATAATAAGCTATATTAACTCTTTATATAATAAGGCACCTAAACTTGGTGTTGTGTGTGTGAGAGAGAGAGGATGTTTCCTGTTGAGTCATTTGTTGTTCATTTTGTTATGGTATTTTTTTCTTGCAGAAATTTAAAAATATATACTTTTTGGTTGAATCCCTGAAGAAGGTAGAAGACATCTGCACTTGTCCCAGTAGGAAAGCCAGGTGGCTTGGGCTGGAGTGATGTTGGTGGACATGGTGATGAGTGTTAGGTATGAGAATGTAGGAATCGTAAAGCTAGAGCTCGGGTGATGTCGTTCCCGTAAACATGGCGGCAGGGGTGCGGTGGGGTGGGTAAGGTGAGGGAAAGAGATGTTGCCTCTGAGGCTTTGGCCTGAGTAACTAGGTGGACAATAATGCCGCTGACTGAGACGGACAAGATTTTAGGGGGAGCAAGTCTCTAACCTGTTTTGGAGTCATGCTTCCACATGCCTGGTTTCAGAATGTGCTACGCATTCAGGTCTTGTTCATTCATCTTCTGAGGTTCCTCC